CCATGTATAACTGAATATAATTATAATTATATCTGGAAGAGCAGTTGTAAACGCAATGAATGTATTGGAATCAGAAAAGGCTGTGAGGTGTCAGGCAGCAGGTTTGGAAATATTAACTATTTGGCAGGACTCAAAGTATATTTTCTACCTTTCTTAAAATTCTGGAGCTGAGAAATGTATTTTAAATTGTTTCGATGTGTTATTGATTTTTTGCAAGCACAGCAGTACACAGAAACTTGAAAAGCAGAATATTTTTTTTTAATTTTGTCTTTAACTCTTGCTTAAGTCTTAAATGTCTTGCAGTACTTTGCTTATTATGTGTGCCAAAAAGTACACACTTAATAATCCAGTATGAACCTATTTTGATGCCATCTGCCACTGAAATCTTTTTGACACACAGTTTCTTTCACTTTGATTCCTTACTGCTGTGGCTCTCTGCAGACCAACTTGCCCATTACCTTCACTCACCCAGAACTAACCGAAAACCTGCTTTCAAAGCCCCCATGTAGGGAGATCATTCCATATCTAAATTTCTAGAGGGATGTCAGCATCTGCTCAAATCCATTCATCCATTCATTTTCTAACCATTTTATCCAAATCAGGGTCATGGGGATCTGGAGCCTACCCTGGAAACCAATGGGTGCAAAGCAGGATAGACCCTGAATGGGAAACCAGTCCACTGCAGGGCACATACAAAACACAAATGTACACATGTTCACACCAGAGCCAATTTTCCCAGAAGCCCTTCCACCTACCTTTGGAGTGTGGGATGAAACGAGAGCACCCAGAGGAAACCCACACAGGGAGAACACACAAATTCCATACTTATAGCAGCCCAGGTACTGAATCAAGGGCCTGAATGCTGCCAAGGAACAATACGTATTCCTGGGACACCATTCTGTCTCTGCCTAAATCCTCCTATTGAATCTGAGGATCAGAACTCTGATAAGCACATTATAACAGACCTGGGTACCTGCATCAGTACCTGTTCAATTCCCATTTCCACTCAGATGTGGTCTGTAGTACTAAATAATTTTAAGTTACAGAAAGTTTATTGCAAATTCCTTCTTAATTAAAGGGGAAAGCCAGGCATTTTAGACACTTTTCAGGTAAAAAATAAAACAATCAAAACGGAGTTAATGAAGGTATTAGGTAATAGTTCTACAAATGCAGTCCCCTGTGTTTCTCATGGGTTAATTTTATCCCGTAAAACAGCTCAGAAAGTATCGGTTATCTACTCTGAAATGTTGTAGAAATTCAGTGAAATATATTATGAACCTACTGATACCTTTTTAAGAAGCACTAGGGTTCCAACTTTGCAAGTACAGTCATAATGACTTTTTTGCAACATCTACTAAAATAAAAGCCACATGTACATTCTGTGTGGGATGTCTAATGTGCGTTGATAATTTGGTACAGCTGTTGGCATTTTGACCACATCTGTCGTCTGCTTTCACATCATATCTTGCGAGGGACAATTCCAAGGCCGACCACGCAAACCTGAAATAAGAATAGCTTTTTGTCATTTTTTGTTTCTGCCTCTACCCACCTACAGAGTCAGCAGAAGCTTGTCAGTTGAAGGCTGTTGTCAACATTCTTGCTCAGTTGTTAGAACGGTGTGCTATTATTAGAACTGCATGAAACTACAACTTGATTGTCTGGATTGAATTTCTAGAAGACGTTAAAGTGATTGAATTTAGGATGTCACTTAAAGTGCAGGAGCTTTAATTTGTATTGACTATCCTGTGTCACGTGTTGTCAAGTTGTTCTAATTATATAATTAAATTCTGTCACTTATAAGCAGCTTTACTTTTAATAAACACAAAACCCCCACGATATGCAAATTTTTCAAATGTATTTCTACAGTACATAGGTGCTAGCTTCATTGTTTTGGCTGTGTGCTTGTAACTGGAAGGCTGTGGGCTCAAATTTCAAATACTGCACTGTTGTGGTACCCTTGAGAAAGGTACTTCATTTAAATTGCCTCAGTAAAATGTCCAGCTGTATAACTCAGCACAAATGTGAGTCGTTTTGGATGAAAGGGTCAGCTAAATTAATACATAAAATAAGAATTCATGCTAAATATTGTAGATGTTTTATCCATTAACAGTCAAATTCACTTCAATGAGCATCATTTCATCCCTTTTCCAAAAGCTAAATCTGCACTATTCTCCTTAAGTGAGTTCCTGTTGCTTTGACTTTAACAACAACTGACAAAGCTGAGGTGTTATCAATTTTAAATCAATCACTCTACTGATGCAGCATGTGGAGATCATTCTGGTTTTCACCTGAGATGTGCTTGTGATTAACTGAGAACCTTCTTTAGTTATGTGCCCAAGGTTTAGGATTTAGGTTTAGGGAAAACAGTTGTGTGTATGATACCCCCTTCCTGTCTCTTTTCTGAATAAACAACAGCCTGGAAACCTGGGGTAACATGAGTTCGATTGGCTTCATCAGGCACAGAGCGGAGGTCAGGACCTTGGACAGCAGCTTCAGCTCTGTGTTTGTCTGGACTGGGGTCTTCTGCCTGGCTGTGTCTTTGTAAAGAACATGAGGGAGCATTACTACAGTTTGGAAAGTAAATTTCTTTAAACAAAACCTTTAGTTATTGTAGTCTAACTATAAAACTATTGACTTAAAATACAGGGACCCAACGTGAGCCCTTCTTAATCCCATTAATGTCCATTCCTTTCTCTCCAACTGAAAAACAACACAGAGATAGGATCTATGTATAATGTACATTGTAAAGTAAAATGTAGAACTTTTGTCAGTTTCTAACAGTATTGTCTAGAGGTTATTATGTTATAACTCCATTTTTATTTCCTCACTTTAAATATGCCTTTATGGTGGTTTTTCTTACCTCTCCAACTTTCACAGGCGTAAAGTGCTACAGGAGAGAATGAGTTCACTGTGGATACTGTCTGGTACCAAAACTGACTTATTCCCAAAGCTATTACAATGTTGTAGATCCTTTCACAGCATTATGCACCTGTCAGCTTTCTTTGGGTCTCTGCTTACATGTGTGTTATACTCTAAGCCTTAGGCAGGGTATGTTAGCATTTTTCTTTCTGATTTATGAAGTGTCACATCTATATCACCATTTTTCTTTTTGACTTATGTCTGGTTACAATGAATAAAACAGAAAAGAGCTATCCGTACTTTCTGATTAAACTGCGGTAGGAGGTCAAGAGAGAACACTACAATGGTCAAAATACGTACTTCGTAAATTAATTAAGATTTTAATAAGGATCTTGGTTGAAACTTTAAAGCGGTTTCAAAACCTCGTGATAAATTAAATTTCACTCAAACAAGTGCCTTACACACGGCTGGAATTATTGAGTCCCGAAAAAACAACAGTTGATTTTCCACGTGCTTGTGTCAGCGGCAAACTTTGACAAATTAATTCCACGTGTCGCTGTCGAGGCAAGAACCATCATTATGCAGTTGGATTAATTGATATCCAGATGTACTGTAGGCTACGGTCAGTTATAGAGTCATGGTAAAGATTAGGTTTAGAATATACTCGACTTTACCAGTCTCCTGGTAATCATGCTATAGCGATACATACAATAATACGTGGTTTAACATGATGATCAATAAGCGAAAGAAATGAAACTCTGGAGATTTCCAACATTTAACTCGTTTCCATTTAGAAGTTCACTTAAGAATACAAATTTTTCTTTTCTTACCCACTTGTTAAATCCGATGCTTCAATTAGTTTCAAAATGACGCCTTACAGTACATAGCATTCTAAATGACAGAAAACCCCTTACACGCCATATGCTACGAGAAAAGACATCCTTCTAAAATGTCCTCCAAATGCTTTTACGTAACCGCTCTGTACTATTGAGTTTAGCATTAGAATCGATTTTTTTTCTCAGCCTGCTCTGCAGTTCTTAATATTGTATAGAATTCCCGAAGACACCCAGTGAAAACCTTTCATTTGCTAAGCTGAAAGCTAACGAGGACCTGGGCTTCAAGAAGTCACCTTTATCTCTCTGGGCAGACTTCTTAGTGCATATTAGAAGATTCTTAGAACTCTCCGTCGTAAACTGTTAGAGGGCTATGCTTAAATAATGCATCATAATTAAACACATAATTGTTGACGTTATAATAATGTTAAGTACATACAGTTGGGTTTCAGTCAGATGGATCCTAGGTTTGGCATATTCCACTTGGATTGATTTTTTTGTATTGGAAGCTGTTCATTTTTGCAAATTCCTCTGAGACGTTGATGAATTTTTGAACCCATTCAATCGATTTCTTTGCGGAAGGGATAGCTTAATCAATCGCGCAAGTAGAACCGCTCTTGAAATCAATTTGACTACCTGCAGACTCTGGCGTTTCGTGCAGGGAACGGTTGCAGTTTACAATCTAGCTAATAGCCGGCGGGGGAGCCTTTTGACTGAAATACACTGAGCAAACTACCATATTTTCGTCTGCAAGGTATCTTTATCTGTAGCGGCGTGGTTCAATTTTAATCTTCCTAGAGAAGTGGTTAATGACTTGTTTTAAAGACCCGTGTATTAACCCTGGCTCCTCCAGACCTTGTCTGATTTTTATACCTTCGACTTTTTTATACCCCATCCTCATACGGTACCGGTTCCCAGGAAATGGCTTTCGCATTCTTTAATGTGTTGTTTAGCGATTTCAAACGTGTAGCCTGCGGTTGATTAATGCATTCTCGCTAGCAATCGCTATTCGTCCTCGTTCAGGGGTGGTAGTCCTTATTCGTATTAGTTAGGTTGTGCCGCCTTCTAAGTTTTACGGTTTTTCGTATTTTCATTTATTTCTTCCAAAAATCTATCGCCATTCCCACTCGTGCTGCACCCCAGGGACATGAATAAACTTACAATTTATCAACAGAGAGAAAAAAAAACTTAAAAAGGCCCCCCCCCCCCCCCCTCTACTTCCACCCTTTCCTCTCCCATTCACTTATGTGATTCAGTCCCACCCCCTTGCCGTCTAACATAACCATCCTCTTTTAACACAAACTGCAATCTCAGTACCTCCCCCTAGTCTCTGTCCTTTTTCGCGTTCACTCTATCCACGCGGATTCATTTCCACCTTCCTTGTGATCTACCCTGTACTTCTTACACCCTGGTCGCGTATAGCGTTATCCTGCTCCTGCTCGTCTCGCTTTAAAACAAATAGGATATTTTTTTTTCTTTCCTCACTGGTATCTCTCTCTCTCTCTTTACCGATGCCTACAACCTAATCAGACAGAAGAGGATTTTTCTCTCTTGAGCATGAGAAGGACTGCCAAATCTTCCGCAATCCAGCATCAAAGATCGGGCTCCCAGCATGAGTACTGGATACACAGACTCCAGCACCAGAAGTTTTCCTCCAACAGAATAAAACATCGGGGACTACAGATCCCAGTCATAGAGGAGAATCAATTTTAGGTAAGCCGCCTATGTTTTAAACGGTACAGAGGTGACATTTAGTCGAGGAAGTGGATTCTAAATAGCTCTGCTCCAGAAGGCTGTGCAGTCCTAGCAAAAATCCGATCATTTTGGGAAGAAGGGCACAGTGGCTGGCATATTAGTTGGCACGTTTTGTTGTGGTTGTGCCTTCTGTTTTGCATGTGTATGAGCAGTTGGAATCCTTAACTAGTTTTGAAAATACATGACCGAATGCAGAGCATTTATCTCACGCCTTGTGTAAAGCACACAATTGTTATACACATTTTTAAAGCAAAGATTTGTTCATTGTTAGTCATTGTAGATCACTACGCAACGAAAAGGGGGCTCAGAGCGATCACCAGTTCGGGCGCATCGCATTCCCTGAGAGCAGTCCGGATCTGTTAACAGTCCGTGCACGGTCTCCTCTTATTGAATACGAAGGGAAGAAACATCTCTGGGAGCTTTCAAAATTGCCCTTGTGCCCTTACACAAACAGACTCTCGGTTTCAAAATAACAAGGCATGAAATTAGGTTATGCAGAATTATCATTGAAGCATTTTATTCCAGTTTAATTTTACTTTAGTCGGTCGAGTAGCTCTTTTCCTTTGAACTGATGCGAGTGAATTTGGGCTATGGGAGCTGATCCTGTTTGTCATTTCTCTTTTTTTATGAACATTTCAACCAGCGTCCTTTGGTGTGTGAATTCGTTTCGGATAATGATATAAACACAACTGAGACAATGATACTTCTATATCTCTTTTGCAATAGGATGCAGAAAGCTGGACTCAATTTGCTGACTATATAAATCCCGTTACTGTGCCTGTTGAAGTGCGAGGGCTAGATACAGCCCTGAATACTGAATTAGCCTTCAGGGTAAAGAAGAGGTGGCGAGTTCATTTCACATGTGCCAGTGTCTATTTAACAGTAGTCTAATGACAACCAGCACGTATGTAACTATTGCACCAGAGGATACATTCTTTCTCGAACGAAAATTTTTGGAGTAAATGTCTTTGAAAGAAAATCAGTGGAAACGGAGTCTACTGTCCTGTCTTGCAGTTGTGCGTTTTGAGCTAGACATTTGATAGCATGTTTGAAGAGCGGTACGATCACATGTGATGCACTGGCTAATTCTAATTGAAGTGTAATTTAGGTTAGATCTCGGCACGTCCTTGTTGGAACACTCTTCATTCATTAACCGTCACGACCTTTTGCCGGGCTGTCCAAGCTTGTGTTTCATCTAACCAGTGGCACTGGTTGACAACAGCCAGAACCGAGGTCATTACGCGGTGTTAAACCAATTATTTTATTACGATTCCTACGTGTCTGACCTTGATACAATTAAAAAATAACACCTTTATTCACATTAAAGGTCAAAAAGTATTACGCCACATCTATTTTTCAAAAGTGTAAGACATTGAATATATTAGTGAGTAAAACAAGTGCATTGTAATAGTATTTTAAGTGTTTTAATGCTATGTTATATTTTCAGTGAAAGTGAACCAAGTATTCATTTTATGAACATGTATATAAAGTGTTTTAAGCGATATTTACAGCACGCATTCCGTGGTTTTGTTTGAACTGGTGTTTCTTTACCATGGCAGTAGGTGGCGCTCATGCTCTTTATTAACAGATTTGAGCTGCATTTTAGGCAGGTTTATATTAGTGCAAGTCAAGGAATTCAAAACTGTGAAATTACTGCTGACAGAAAAACAAGAAATATAACTTCTAGTTCGTGTACTTAAAGTTTGGAGGTATGTAAAATTATTTTAATGGCTTACGTTTCTTTAGAATATCAGTATGAGCTCAGGTCCCTAATTAAATCTTCTTGCTTTGAGTGAAACAGTGAAGTACAGTAGTTGTCATCGTAACAGATATCTGTGATTGTAATTACTAATACACGAAGCTCTTGAGTATTACAAAAACGCTTTTTGCGTATGTATGTACTGCGCCTCGTAAAGTAAATTGTGTAATTTAAATATCGTAGAGACTGGAAGTGTGCCACTTCTTTTTAAGGATTCTTGTTGAATGCAAAATAAAGTATTATAGCATTTAATTATAAATACTTTTACTGCCGATCCTGGAAACATCAATTTCTCTGCGATTTTAGTGTTTAGCCGTGTTAGTATTACGCTTATCAGGTGAACGATGAATACTCAATCTGATTATACAACACATTGTGGTTTTAGTGATTACTCTTATGTCTGAGGATACTTATTAAAACAGAAAATATCCTTGTGCGAGTGATTAAAGACAATTATTCCAAATTATTGACAGACCAGGTATTGCACAGGATGTATGAACTCTTTTATTCCGTGGCCTTTTCTGGATAGTTTTGTTTTGTCACTATCACATGTTTGCAATACCTTAAACCCTATTGTGCGAGTTCCTGATTAAAATGTAGTTGTAACCACCTGCACGCGAGTGCTGTTTTACAGGGGATATAAAGCAACTGAAAACTGAAATATACAGTTTACTGCACATCTGGATGGAGACGAAAGGCTTACAGTAGTCTTCTCGTTTCAAATCTCTCAAAGGCTACAATTGTATTGCTCTACTCATCTTTGCAGCTTCACGAAGTTATCCACAGGCGTTGACAGATGGGTGAAATTCTAATTGCGTTTCAGAAAAGGGCACACGAGGACAGTGTTTCAAAATACTTGGTTATTTTATAATTGCATATAATGACACATAAAGGCATAACTTGGGATAAACTCGTGTTTGTTTCATTTCTGCAGGATAAATGACCCAATCTTTTTTTGCTCATAGCCAGTGTTATCCAGACTGTTGTCAGTTGAACATCTACTGTAGATCTCATTTTAGCCATTTTTTAAGACGGTAGAGACTATAAACGACTTAGTGGATAATTCAATTTACTCTTAGATACAGTTAAGGACACGTTACTACAATAAATGTGCCGGCACCGAGCAGTGCGTCTCCGTCACGATCTATTTCGGAGCGCTGTTCTGAGACATTTTAATTTTTTTTGCTATCTATGCAGATCTTCTTTAAAATGAAATATTTTGAAAATATTCTAACATCTCGTTGGATGCATTGGCATTTGTGTGTAGGTCTGAAATGTGTTAGATTTATAATAGCTTTCTCACAGTGTCTTGTGATGTAGTATGGTATGTCTGAGAGACTGATGAATATGCGAGAACGCACGCTGCAACCGGAGTCCTGGTATTTATTAGCATTCCAGGTATCATGTAAATTTAGTATTGTACAGTTTGGATTAGTAATGCATTATGTGAGGGAAAGGAGTTTGTTATTTTCACATTACAAGACTGGTATGCTTCTTAATAACGCTATAATAAATATCAAGAGGATAATATTGAAGAGGTCTAGAAAAAATATCTGTGTGTTCTGAAGAGTCCATCTTCTCAAGCAGATACAGGCACATTACTGAAAAGACAACAATGCCTCTGAAAAACACTGACCATGATTTCAAAGATTATCTCATAGTTTGTGAGTCAAGGCTGAAAAAAATCTTAATGATTTTTATGAGAGGTTGGATCCAATGTGATGAATTTGCCTGATAGGTTATGGTGTCTGGATCACAAAGACAAATTAAGGGCTTGTTTTTTAAAGCAATATGTACTAACTACACTGACTCTTTCGAGGGGATTCAAAGACACACTTGGGGAGTACAAGTCTTTGCAGTACCTAGATAAGAATACGAGTTACTGCATTTGCAAAGAATGAGAAAGTTGTCTGGCTTTCCTTAGAGAGCAACAACTGAAACTTTCTTTACAATATGGTGAATTCAGCAGCCTGGAGCATGATCATTGTTTGAATTTACCTGTTTTACTCTTTTTAAGAGTTCAGTAGCCAAAAGTTAAAGTCTGTTTCAAAGCACTTGTAAGACAAATGCCAATGTTACACTATTGCACAAAATAAAGAATCCATGATAACGTGTCTTTCATGCTGTAGGTACCTAAACATTAAATCAGCAAACTAAAATAGTTATTCTTAGTATCTAGTGATACTAGTCGATATTGTATTAATAGAAGTTTTTTTTAATAGTACTGGATATACAGTATCGTGTATAACAGCAGTGTTCTTCAGAAAGCCAGTTTAATTATAATCCGGGAAGAGAAAAGCATATAGAAACACTGGCAGCAGTGGGTTTCTAATGAAGCTTCAGTTAAGCAAATTGATTTATAAATGAGTATTCTATGCATCCAAAATGAAAAGACACAAGAATCAATAATTGATTTTTTAGATAGCTAAATACATCTAGATGTTGATTGTAAAGGGAGACATTTAATGTATGTTTATTTAAATTATATGTCTGTTGCCTTTGTTTTATAAGAAAGAGTATCCAAAAGGGGCATACTGTATGATACTCAAGCTGTTTGGACTTGATCCTCACCTTGTTAATTTAACAAGGATTATATACAGTATATATAGGATCTGTGCCTGTGGCTGGAAGGTTGTCGGTTCAAATCCCATGGCTGGCAGAGGAATCCTACTCTGTTGGGCCCCTGAGCAAGGCCCTTAACCCCAACTGCTCCAGGGGCGCTGTAGAAATGGCTGACCCTGCCCTCTGACCCCAAGCTTCTCTCTCCCTGTCTGTGTGTCTCATGGAGAGCAAGTTGGGGTCTGCAAAAAGACAAATTCCTAATGCAAGAAATTGTATATGGTCAATAAAGTGATCTTATCTTATATGTTTGGTTATTTGTAAAACAGCCTCCACTGTTTCAGGAGCTGGTGAATTGAAAGGCACAATAAAGTTTTACAAGCAAGCCCTGCAAAAGATGGAATTCCAGGTTGTAAAACTGCACAGTTGACACAAGCGAGTTGCAGCCATAACTATTCCAAAAAACATTAAAACATCCCCTGGGGCTGCTGTCTGCCCTTTCTAATTATAACATAAAACATGGAGGAGTCTAACAGCACAGTTATTTGTCTTTTCCAGTTTTGATGACTTTCTAAATTATTAAAGAAAGAATCAAATACATTCTTACTAACTAGCATGTATTTATGTATTTCCCTGGTCA